TCAACTAATTCATACTAGGTACTAGATAGGAGTAGTTAGATACGCTCGCTCTAGGATGCTATTAATTCATTCACAGGTAGACCGGTTTATGAGAGTTGCACAGATCCTACGCAAACCTAGCTTGTTATTTTGCGGTAATACTTCATGTAGGGCGTTCGTCCAACCGAACACTCCTATTGGTGGGCCACGATGTCATCCCAACGACCCCTCCTATCTATCCTATCCGCTTGTCCACTCGCTTCTCTAAAAGGATCCCTAGTCACGCAGTTTCTAAAAAAATCACCGCAGCACCACAACCGTGCTCCGTCGCGCCGCCTTGGCGTTCTCCACGGCATCTAGGCACCCACCGATCGGCATCTCCACCGTGCCCGAGTGTGGCCGCCCACCTTCCTCCCTCTCCATCGTGACTCCTACCCGCTGCGACCGCCCATCTTCCTCCTGGCCCTTGTGTCGTCCTCGACTTGCTCTGAGTGCCAGATGTGGCTACCTCTCTCGGCCGCTTTCTTCGCCACCCCATGGCATAGCCCTCCGCTCGGTGTCGTGTAGTAGATGAACTCCTCTGCCACATGTGTATGCAGTCGCGTGCCCCTCCTATTTGTTATGGCACCGTGCTGTGTCGACTGCCTTGATGCGCCTCCACCCCCTTCTCGCATAGATGTCCTTTCGCGTCGCCCGTGTTGATGGCCTACCTACTCGTGGATGATCTTGGACGACAGCAACATGGTGGCTTGGTGAGCCAGAGCGCGCTCCCTCCATGCAGCAAGCAGGAAGGAGATGTTGCATGAAAGCGCATGTTGTAAGCGAATGTTTTAGATGTTGGTATGTTGCAAGTGTTTTGCATGGATGTTGAAAAAGTAGATCGAGATGTTGCATATGTTGCAATGGCTATATACTTATGTTGCAAGCGTTTGTTCCAAATGTTTCATTTGTTTCTTAGACGTATGTTGCAAGCGTTTTATCTTGATGTTGCACGCATTTCATGCATATGTTGCAAATGTATTATCTGGATGTTGTAAGTGTTTGCAACGGCTTTCAAGCGTTTTAAGGCGTTTTGCAAGTGTTTCAGACGTGAATGCATCTAGGCCCCTAGTTGGGTTTCGGTGATTAATGACTACACAAGATTACGGTGATTAACATGTGTTTTGTAGAGGCAACTAAAGTTAGGTCGTGGTAATGGTGATTGATTGGACAATTATGGTTTTCATGCCCCTATGGATGGAAATCATTTCGGTTTTCAAAGGATGGACGACAAGGTTAAGGAGGACTAGTTCTAAGTGTCGTTTGGCATGGAGAGACACTTAGATTAGTTTTAGGACTTTGTTTTTCCTTTGGCAGTACTATAAAGGGGGGCATGGATGGGTAGCTTGACCTAGGCGTGTCTAGTGAGAAGAATGTGGTGCATATTTGTTAAATCTAGCGCCTAGATCATCGAAAGCTGGAAAGCGATTCGAAACGGCGATCGAATTGGACATTTACAGCTCTAGGGCAGCGGACAGGGCGGTGTGCACCGCCGTGGTCACTGCCATGGGATGGCGGTGCCACCGCCCCTTTTAACTAGAGGCTGGGGTGCTCGGCTGGCATCGGACAGGGCACCGCCCCTGGGGTGGTGGTGTCACCGCCACTATTTTCCAGAGGGCACCCCCAGGCCATGGTGGCACCGGATAGGGCACCGCCCCTAGGGTGGCGGTGCCACCGCCATATTTATCCAAAGAGGGGTGCTTTGGGGGCTTGGTGACCGCCCCTGGGGTGGCGGTGCCAACCCAATAATGGCTAGTTCAAAACTAGCCGTTGGGGTGGCACCGGACAGGGGGTGGCGGTGCGCCACCTTGCTGTCTGGTGACCCTAATTCTGCTGAGTTGGAGGATAACAGCTAGTTCCTTGGTTTGAGCCTATTTATACCCCTCCATCTCATGCATTGAGGCCCTCTTGCCCATTTATTCGGCTGAGAAAACACTCTCTTTACTTTGAGCATTTATATTTAATCAATTTAATTTATGTCTTTACATTCTTAGAATTACCATGCTAGAGTAGGATTGAAACCTAGGGTGCAAAAATTTTGTGTGGTAGAACAATAGAAACACTTTTAGGCACTAGGGTGAAATGGGCTAAGTGTAGGGCTTAATTATTGCAAGAAATTTAGAATTAGTCAAATTTACCCCCCCTCTTGGGCATCTTGATCATTTCAAAGACGTACGTTGAAAGTGTTTTAGTTTTTTCGGACGTATGTTGCAAGTGTTACATCTGCATGTTGTAAAAGTAGATCTGGTGTTGCACATGTTGTAATGGAACCCACCTACCACTGTCACCTATTACAGCTACTAGGGCGTCGTGCATGCGGTTCCTTTGTGAAGCGAGCGTGGGAAGCGGCTGGAGAAGGCACAGGCGGCTCCCGCGTGCTCAATACAGAGTAGGAGGACAGGCAGTCTCCACGTGCGCGTGGGAAGCAGAGCTGAAGCGGGCGGTTTCTGTATGCAAGTGGGCAGCACGGGCACGGCGACGCGGCCTGAGGGCACAGGAAACGAAGGAGGCGTAAAAAACGTAGCATCTCCAATTATTTGAGGCAATACGAAACCAGTGAATTTTGAACCAAGCTCTCTAGCACGTAATTTAGCCACTTGCACCAGTCTCGCTCGTACGTTATTCAGCCACGTCAACAGGAAATCTCCAGCCGTTGGATCTTGATCGGACGGCTCGAGCACTGTTCCAATACTGTTTATTGTCGTTTAGATATTGAATTGGGCTGTGGCCTCGTGGGGGCACCTCCGCTTGGAGGAACTGGGTACTGAATTGTTATGTGCAAGGAATGTCATCTTATTGGTACGTCCTAAGAGCATCTCCAATAGTTCCTTAAACATTTTCCTAATCCTTGTTTTTTAGAAAGATGGAGAAAAAACCCTCTCCAACAACTCCTAATATTTACTCCTAATCTTTTATGACTTGGGAAATTCCTCCTCTTTTCGCGTAACTTTACGCGGATGAAGCTACGCTCGAAGACGCTCGGAGCCTGACGGAAGTCGTACGACGCGTCGAACAGCATCTCGCCGTCGCGGTACCCCGCCTGCTGCAGCGCCTCGACGAGCCTCCGTCTACCGCTCCGAGGACCCCTCCGTGCCGGCGTCCGAGCTCACCGAGACGTACTGGAAGTACTACGGCGCCGCAGGCGCTGTTGGGGCCGCGCTCGCGTGGGCGTGGCTCGCGGCGGCGGCCTGGAGGAAGGACGGCGGCAAGGTGGTCATGCGGACCGCCGTGCACTGCCTCACGGCCTACCTCGTCGTCGTCGGCGCCCCACGCTTCTGGGGGAAGCACTTCTTCCGGGCGTTGCCACGCTGTCGGCGCCGCCTGCACTTCCTCTACGTCATGTCTCAGTGCTTTCGATAGGTACAGCTCACAACAACACTATGTTCTGAATTTGTGCAGTAAAATTGCCTATTCCATCTCATTTCGCATTTAATTTGGACTCTAGTGAATGTGGGTCTGATGCCTGACACCGAGTAGGAGAGCGAGTTTCTGCAAATAACATGCAAATTCCAAGAATATCCGCTCGCAATGCCTTAACCACCGGCCGCGCTCGTTGCTGCCCGCGCCGACATTGCGGCGACTCGAAGCGGCTCAGACAGCGTCTGGTGAGGCGCGCCTCGAGCCGGTGGCAGTGTGTTTCCGGCACCAACCTGACGACAGTACCACACGGCGGCGTTGGGACTGGGGCGCGGCGGCGTGGCGTGCACAATGGAAGAGTAGGAGCGAAGGGAGGAAGAGCAGCAGCAGGCGGCAGCGACGTGGATACGCTTGGCGACGAAGAGGTTCGCGTGGAAAAAAAGAAGACCGCAGAAAAAAAAACCCGTCAAATGAGACCAGCATTTGATTTTTTAGAAGTCAAATATTATGAACTATTGGAGATGAACTTCTTTTTTTCTTCTAAAATCTTTTTAGGAGTTGGTAAACATAGACTTTTGGGAGAAATATTTAAGGAACTCTTGGAGATGCTCTAATCCGTACCAGTTACAGAAGCAATTCCTTCAGTTATAAAAATGCTCAACAGTTACGTGCAAGGAATGTAATAGAATCTATTACTAGCAGTTTAGTCAAGGTTTTTTTTAATTACACAGTACAGATGCCCACAACACGCATGCACATTGATCCATATGAACACACGGACACAAACCCTATCCCTATGAGCACCTCCGAAGATTGAGCCGGCAAATCTCGAGATTCACGAAGTCACCACTGGCGCCTCGCTATCGACAGGGACGTTGCCTACCACCGAAAGCATAGCGTTATTAAATTCTAGAATAAATCCAGAAAAATACGAGCACCCGTGCCAAATCGAGGAGTTAAACCCGAATGAGCAGGTTCCACCACAAGAGACCTAACCAACTGATTTATTGACATTATGTGTGCCTGATCATTGCTTATTTGCCAATTACCATAACAAGCAGATCACCTATAATTAATTGGGAATTTTTTTTACATGCACGCCTTCCAAATGGTTTTAATCTTGCATCGACGACTTTTCTCTATTATATCTTTCTACTGGGGAACATTTTGATCCGGCCAGCAAATTTAAACCTACTTAGGGGGTGTTTAAAGCAGGTACTAAAGTTTAAGAGATATCTCATCGAATGTCATATAGAGTGTCGCAAACAAATTACAGAATCCGTCAGTAATCCTTAAGACGAATTTATTTAGGCTAATTAATCCATCATTAGCACATATTTACTGTAGCACCACGTTGTCAAATCATGACCTAATTAGACTTACAAAATTCGTCTCGCAAATTAATCTCAATCTATGTATTTAGTTTCGCAATTAGTCTATATTTAATACTCCATGCATCCAAACATCTAATGGGACAACGACTAAAGTTTAGGAGGTGGAACCAAACACCCTCTTATCTCATTGCCTCTGTAACCTGCTCAGCATCTAGCACTTCAGCAAAAGATAAAAAGCCTATCTCATTGCCGGACCAGGTGAGACCTCTGATATCTCCCCAATGCTTCCTTCTACCTCAACAACGTTCCTCTCGCCGGCATAGCACAGACCATCACCACCAGCCAACGCCGAGCTCCGCCCCGATCGCTGCGGCGGGCCTCGAGCTCCATGCTCTCCTTGATCTGTGCCACCACATCCGTCATCATAGGACGCTCCCTGGAGACTTCTTGCTTGCAGTGCAGCGCCAGGTCAGCGACTTTCCAGACGGAGTTAATGTCGTAGTCGCATCCCATGCTCGAATCTATGATGATCTCGATGCTGCCTTGGTCGAGGTTTTGCTGCACCCACTCGCCAATGTGGATGCTCACACTGTCGTCTATCGGGACGATCGGGGAATGGCCTGTCATGAGCTCCAGGAGAACGACACCAAAGCTGTAAACGTCACTCTTCTCGCTGATCCGGTAACTGCGGTAGTACCTGTGCAAGGGTAGAGGTTCAGTTACTACTAGTACTTGGTAGACTGGTAGACAGGCTAAGATAATTCATTTCCGTAACATAATGCTACTCTAGGTAGTCCAAATGAAAAGGGACAATTTTCTTGAAACTAAACCTCAAAAAAAAAAACTTGAAACTGGAAGTGGATTATGATATACTAGCTAGGAGAGAAGCTGTACAAGACTTACTCAGGATCTAAGTAGCCCACTGTACCAGCTGGTTCAGTGGTGATATGTGTTTCTGAGTCACTGAAAGCCTTGGTCAGACCAAAATCTGCAATCTTAGCCCCAAGATCGGTGGTCAAGAGGATGTTCCTACTCTTCACATCTCTGTGAATCAGTGCTGGTTTACATGCAACATGCAGGTACTCCAGACCTGCGATAAAGTGAAAGTTTTTTTATATTTTTTGCAATAGTGTACATATATAAAGGTAATCTCAGAAATGAGACAGTTCATCATACCTTGAGCAGCATCAAGGGCGATTTGAAGGCGTTGCTCCCAAGTGAGTGGTTTGTGAGTAGAAGTGTCTAGACACATCAACAGAAATTGAACACCGAGCAAAAAGAAAAGAAATCAAACACAGTCAGTATAAATTCAAAACACATGCTGGAGAAATTCATGCACTTCATACACTCTAAAATCAATGTGCATCTATGCAGTGAGTAACCATAATCACAACTATTTTAGGATCTGCAAATTGCTTCTTTGAGAAATGTAGCATTCCTCTGTAATTTGAATGCTAAGATATAGCACAGTTGATTTCTAATTTAGGACACCTAAAACCAGGATTATCTTATATTAGCATTCTATATTTGAGTGTCCAGGATGAACAACCTCTCAGATGATCCTGCAGGTTCCCTTCAGGCATGTACTCATAGACAAGGGCAAAATGATTTTTGTCCTTACAATAACCAATCAAGGATACCAAGTTCTTGTGATGTATCCTTGTCAAATGTTGAGCCTGCAGCGTAGTTCAGAAAATTGTTGTTCAGGAAGAAAAAAGAACATATTAAGAATGATTATTAATTGTAATTCCATCTACAAAAACATAAAATACTTCAATGTACTGTTCATCAGAATTATGAAACGGATGGTTACAGAAGGGGAGGGGGAGGCCAACACAAGGAAACTTTACTGCAATATTGTCATTATCATATCTCATAGGGGGGAGCTTAAGTGGAAACGTGGCACATCTAGTTCTCTAAGTTCATTCCGATTTACTCAGCCAGAAACTCTTTGCCCCCTTGTGAAGATGACTCTGACCGTATTTTCACAGCGACTGGCTTTCCATTTTCCAAGTAACCAAGGAAGACAGCTCCAAACCCACCTTTGCCAATCTCTAGGTTAAAGTTATTTGTAATATGCTTCAGTTCTCTGTAAGAGAATTCTCGGTTCTCAAGTAATGCTGTTTCATCTTTAGGATCAGCAACCCTTCTCCTAGCTGCATCATGTGAAAAAGGGTATTAAAAGGCAAGAAATACAACAGCGTGTGGCACCAAAAAAATTGATTTCCTCCATGTTGTGTTACCTTTTTCCTTGAGTGTTCGGAGCAGCAGAACAGTGAAGATAACAAATAAGGCAATGGCAGCAACTATTGGAATGATTATCGCAGAGAGAAGTGCCCTATCCATTTTCTTTGGGCCTGATTCATAGTTAGTACCGTTCCCAAATAAATTTGAATTGTTACCAAGCCTGGAAGCGTAAAAAATGCACGGAATGATTCACATTAAGAAACACTTCCAAGATAACCCAAATAAAGGGAGATGTTCTATATCTTTGGTCATCAGCCAGACCTAAAAATTGACAAGGCAAAGGTAGCAGCACTGTCACTGTTCTCAGATATGTTTTTTTACCCAAAACAATGTTACATTAAAGAACCCTTATAAAAAAATGTTACATTAAAGAACTGAAACTCTTAATGCCTTCTAGTAGAGCTCTCCTTCTAGTATGGATGAAAATTCCAAACACAAAAGCAGTATTTTGTTTACTACGAAGTAATGATATTGTCCTAATGCTAGTGAAAACTATTTATGAACTAGTACCCAGTAATGGGATAAGTGCTGCTTCCTTATTAAATGGACTCACAAAGAAACTGGGGAACAAGAAACGTCCAAATACAAAGGATATATTTTAAACATTTAAAAACAGATGCTATGACACTAAATGAACATTTAAAATAGTATAACTGCATCCTCCAAAGTATGTTTTATAAATTCGATGAATAAAACAATTTGATTTAAAACAGGGTTGCTCCATAGTTTGGTAACATACAAGTATAAAACATACCTTAGTGAAAGAGTCCCATTGTGGGATTTTTGAAGAACATTGTAAGGAATTGATCCAGAAAGATCATTGCTGGAGAGATCCCTATAAAGAAAATGTATGGCATATGAAAAGTTTGTTCTATGAAGATTCCCAAACTTGAGCATATGTTTAGTAAGACTTACAGAAATACTAGAAATGGAAGCTGCCCAAGACAATTTGGAATGGAGCCAGACAAGTTATTGTGTGACAAATCCCTGGGATAGGTAACAGTTCTTGTAAGAAATAGCTTTAAGGTATGGGGGAATAAAATGTTTCAGTGGTACTATTTATCAGCTTAATTTCACGTCTGAATTCAGGAAAAGGACTAAAGTAATCATTGCAAACAGGCTTTGCGCCCTCTCCTAATACATATATATATTTCACATGATTAGTTTTCTTTCAAAATGTAAGTTTTATAGTACGGTGGAGATATACAAGAAAGAGAACATATATTTCACATGAAATTCAATAACTTTACTGCAAGATACATGTTATTTTAGTTATACTATAGTAAACAGTGCAGAAATCACTAGACATAGAAAACAGGTAAACATACAAGTAAACAAGCAGAGGGGGGGAAATGAACCAGATGGACTTAATTTGGAACTTGCAAGTAGTACCCAAAAGAAAAATGCCACAGCACATTTTAACGTCTAAAGTAAGATATTGTGGAAAAATCCTACAGGTACTGGAGTGCTTTCAGATCTCCAAAAGAGGTAGTGATGGGACCGGCCAACCCACTTGAAGACAAGTTTCTGCCAAAAAAAAATGAGGAACGCAGAACAGTTAGTTTCTGCTCTTGCTATGTCCAGCATGAGTCTAAATTGAAACTTGCAATGCTATGTAACGATTCATTTTTCTTTATTTATTTCAAATATGACTGAAACATACAATGCTGTTATTCTTGGAATGCCAGTTGGAGGATCAGTACAGTCCAATCCTTCCCATGCAAAAGTTTTTGGAGCACATGGGTCACCCATCCAGTTTTTGCTCACACCAAAAGCTTCTTGGATTGCGATCATGGCTCTAGCTGGTATGGCAAAAACAAGAAAAGTATGTATATGGATACGCTACCTGTTACCAAGATAGCAATACATCTAAAATATGATATAACACAAATGCAATAATATGTGCATGTTGTAACTTGTAACTCCTTCTATTAATGCAATGATATGCAGCTCTCCTGCGTGCTCGAGAAAAACAAATGCAGCACAATTAGTTTTGCCACTTTTCCCTTTAAAAAAAGTGTTACTACTTTTCATGTTTTGCAAATTGTAAGAAAACGTAACATCGATACAGTTAGCAATTATAGAAAATTTACAAAATGCATTAATATACATTGTTAAACTCATACCATCTCCAGGGTCTGTTGCAATTTCATCTATCAGTTTCACCAAATACATCTCCATGGCATTGAGAATAGGTGGGAGTGTTGCGTTTTTCGTAGCAACAAGTGAGATGTTATACTGCGCTTGCCCCTGAACCGTACCAGAAAAGGAATCGGCAAACAGGTATGGTGGAGTGTAAGGTTTTTTGTTCCATGCTCTGTTATTGACAATGATATCAAACTGTCGCAGTTCATTGCTTGCTACACGCTGCAACTCAGCAAAGTAGAAAACAAAGAAGTATCTGGAGCTGATATTCACAGAGTGATCAGATGGATCCCATGAGAAATTAATTATTGAACTATTGGAAGGTGTTGCGGCATTTTGCATGACGGCTGATGGCACATCATAGGCATCAGTTAGGTAATTCCGAACAACAGATGTTGCAGATGCCTCGTTCCAGGTTGGGATGGCACCATATGTCAACCAGATACGATCATGAGGATCCAACGGGTACCTGTTTGGGCCAAAGAAAATATGCTTGTGAGTTCATTCAGTTAATGATAAAAGATACTAAAGATGGTGCAAAACTAGCCATAGTACCACTCTTCTGAGAGAACCATGCAAAAGGTGGCTAAAAGGAGGAGGCACATTCATTCATAAAGATGTTTTATTTTATTTTTTAGATTATTTTCAGCAAGTCCACAAGACACCAAGGTACTTCCGAAATATTTGTGTCAAGGAGTTTAATATGATTATCCCTTGAGCCAAGAAAAATAATTATTGAGCAATGGCTAGAAGCTTTTGTGTTATTGATTTGATCTTTTTCATTTGCTTCTTTGTTTCTTGATTGATCTTCTCTTTGTTTGCACCTCTAACTTTTTTATTAATTTATTTAATCTGTAGGGATTTTATCCCGTGCTCCCTCAAAAAATAGATAGATTTGTGTAATCAATATTCCTATTTTATCAACCAACAGGGTAATTAGAATGACTTGGCCAGTTACATTTGATGCATGCAGAACTAAATCAAACTCACCGAACTACAGACTTGTCTGTGGGCCCCATGTTAAACCGATTGGCATTGATCAGCACCAGGGATTGACTAGCATTTGCCTCTGGGTAAAGAGTACTCTTCAGTGGCCTCAAATCCAGCCCAGAGATAAATGGAGTTCCCGTCCCTTTATTCACCAAACAAACTTGCAGGTAATCAGCAGGAGCCACAACTATGATGTCCATCCAATTAATTGCACCTGCATCCCTGAACTTAACTTCATGCCAATAATTTGCCCCCATGTATAGATCAAAAACAGGAAGCTTGTTCAGGCCATCATAATTTGCATAATAGAAGGCTGCACGAACAAAATACTTGTTTCCGGCAACCAAGGATCTCAAGGTATAGCAATTCCGTGTGCCATCTAGAAAGAAGCGGACATTATAATAGCGCTGTGCTAGTGATGGGCTGATGTAATCTGAGGAGATGTTGTGGTTTTCTCCCGAGCTGATGAAACCATGGTCAGAGACATATATTATGCTTGAAGTGAGATCTTGGTACGAAGAGTTTCCCGGGATGCCACAATCAATGCTTATGAAACCTGAAAGGGAAATATAAGTCAGAAGACTATAGCAAATAAATAATCATGAGGAACTAGTTGGCTTCAAAAGATTGCTTGTACACATTGATCTTCGAAAATGGTTTGAGAAATGGTTCTATTTTCCTCTTTTATACAAATAGATTTCCATCAAGTGTTCCTATTATCAACCATGCAGGCATACGTATACCATTGGAATGAACACATGAAATGAGTAGTTGAGCTCTACATGCATTTTTTTCACTATTTATCATCTGAACTTAAAGTGCAGAATCAGAACAACATACCTCGGCTATTTGGCTGGCCGCCGGTATACTGCAAGATGTAGAATAGGAGAACAGCAACACTCAGCTTCATGCTTTTTGTCCAACCTTGAGAGCACAGAACATAAAGAAAGACCTTCTGAGAGAGACAGACAGCGATTATATATGCCTGGGACTAAGCCACTGACAGGTGCCTATGCATGCATACCTTACTAGGTTGTCCTCTGCCGCAAACATGGACACGAAAGTCAACGTCCAAGGAACTAAGTCAGGTATTTTCCAATTCAAAAAAGATCTTGTCATGCTACATGATTATGCCCCACCAACAGTGGGGAGACAAGTACATCATTATTACAACACTTACATTTGATCTCTCTCTCTCTCTCTTGTGGCAATGGTCAAAATAAATCTGTCTCTCATGATCACCGGCATAGAATGCACCTAAAGCTGACGCAGCTCACATTGTGGACCCTGGGCTTGGGTCAGGCATTTCAGAATATGCATTAAGCCAGTGTCTCTCAGGAATGGACCAAGACCTGGAGTATGAGAATTAATCCCATTTTCAACTCCAGAATGCAGCTAATGTTGGTGTAGCTTCAGTGTGCCCCTTAACAAGCATTGTTGTAATCTTGTGACTGAATAATTTAATCACTACCCTTCAACAACCTATTGACCTGATTCGGTAAACTATCCGGGTGGTTGCAACGAATCTTGCAAGTGGCACTATATTCGCAGATAAAATAAAATAAAACCAAGCAAAAACAGTATGTTTGTCACTGACTTGACTATTAAGCAACAATTTCATCGTTTATCACGATACTAAGCCCTGAATCTTCTACGCACTACATGCTTTACCAACTACTTGGACAGCGAAAGAAATGGAGACCCTGACTGACAATGACATGGAGCCTACCAGTTGTGTACTGCAGGAGGAGAAAACCTTTCCGCAATGCGGGGCAACTTGGCGCCTGACCAAGACGAAGATGGTGCGCGACCTGGGAGACCCTGAGGTCGGCACGCACGATCCGATTCTCCCCGATGAGACGACGACGTCACGCCAACGCTGAGGCGAGGCCGGCCGTCACACGCACAGCCAGTGGCCGGCAGCAACCAACGGGGCGGCTTTCCTCTCCTTGACCTCAGTCGGTCCTGGTCGTCAGTGCGCATGTCGGCGCGGAGGCCACGAATGAGCCACCGCGCAAGGCACACGCTAGCCCAGCGGCCCCGGTAGGAAAAGCGCGTAGTGGATGGGGGCATAGGCGGCCGAGGAAGTCGCCGCACCGAGCGCCCCACGCGCGCGCCGACGCTCGCGGCGTCAAGCTCGCGAACGTCGACGCGCATCGCCTCCGGTGAGCCGGTGGAGCACCTAGCCCGATCCCCGTAGGGCGAGCACCTCAGGCGGCACCACAGCCGAAGGCCAGGCCAAGCGGCGACGGCGGTGGTGCGGCATTCCGTCGAACATCTGCCGAGCGCAACGGTTACGCGGCACACACCATGGCCTCGAGTCCTCCGCTCCGCCCCATTAGTGGGCCAACCCAGGTCTATTGGGCCGTTGTCCCGACACGCGGGCTTCAGTGGGGCCGGCCTATAGCCTATAGCTTGGCCTGCTGGTCCTTGATGACGCCTCCTTTATTAACTTTTATTTAATTGGGTCGTTGTGTACTCTTAATTGGGCCAGCCCAGGTCTATTGGGCCGTTGTACTCTTTATTTAATGGAATTGGTCACACTCCACTAAAAAAATTAATTTGGTCACACAAAAAAACTTTGTTCAACCAAATTATAGACCGAGTTCATTTTTGAAATTGCTATGGTCCACTCGAAATTTAAATTCCTTCTTTTCGATTCCTTTGTTATGTGCAAAAACATGAAACAAATACGGTAGTCTCTAGTAGGAATTAACAAAAAGAATCATCATGTATACACATCCATCCTAAATCAATATCACATCTTCCTGTACTCTTTTGAAATGAAATGTTTATTTCCCACCATTTGTCATCGAAATCTTCCAAGGAAAACGACCTCTCCTATCAAAGATCCTCCGCCGGCGCCTCTGTCGCCACCGCCGCCTCCCGCCGCGGCAGCTGCCCCTCCAGCCGCATGAGCCTGGAGAAGACCCCGACCATGGGCGCCGTGTTGTACGTGCAGGCCTCGGTCTGCATGTACGCGCCGCGGTGGTCGTTGAAGACGTCCTCGCCGTTGGGCCCGCCGACGACGGCGCCGACGAGGTCGTGTGGGTTCTCCCGCCGCGCGCTGTACCACGAGTCGAACCCCTGCAGGCAGCCGATGAAGTCCCGGTCGTGACTGTACGACGCGCTCGACGCCGCGCGGTGGTGCACCTGCCGCGGGTACGCCGCGCCGTACCCTACCAGGTAGCTGGTGCGCATCGGGTTCGTGCCCAGGATGTAGTCGGCCTGGGACTTGGCGAACGCCAGCACCTCGCCGGCGTCGCTGGTGGCGGCGGACCTGGCGGCGGGCTCGCCGTCGTCGTCGCCAGAGCCGCCGCAGCGGAGGGGCTGGCCCAGGGAGGAGAGGACGTCCGAGTAGACGGTGAGGAGGAAGGCCGCGCCGGAGACGTACTGGAGGTTGTTCCAGGGGCGGATGAAGAGCAGCCCCGCCGGGGTGCGGCCGGCGTTGTGCTTCGCGCCGCCGGGGTTCCGGTTCATGCACGAGCACACGTAGTACTCCGCCTTGGACCGCAGCTGCTCCACCATGGCCACCTCCTCCGTGCTCAGCCGCAGCCGCTGCTCCTTCGCCTCCACCAGCAGCTGTCAGTAAGATTCAGTCCAACACAGCAAAGTCAGCAGCTGTTGAAGAAAAAAAAAACTCTCCTTTTTTTCAAGAACAGACCAACATGTCGTCTCAGAAAATTCGACCGTACTATTTTGATTTATTAAGAGATATTAGCACAATGTTTGTTCTAATGTATTTCCATATTCTTCTTAAAGCAACAAAAATATAAACTAGACTATGCTTCAAGCAACTGTCATTTGCAGTGTCATTATTCTGACTGAAATACGTCAAATCAGATTGTTATATTCCATTATTGTTAGCTCCTGTTTGTCAAACATTTGGCCAAACACTATACTACTGTTGACTTCAGGAGTAAGACTTGAAGCTATTCAATGCAGAATTGCCTGTTGGGCAGCCATGCCCATGCATGTAGTACTAGTATATGACACATCCCCCTGTCTTGTTATGGTCCAAATTTCAGTGTCATCCAAAACTAACTGTGTAGGCTTCGTATATATTAAGTTAACCTAAAGGTAAAAGTATACTTGAAAAATCAGGATCCAAGCCACATGATCCTTCTTTCCGGGTTCAGTTTGTCAGGGCTCTGGTTGTGATCCAACAACTTCAACCTTTTTCCAAACATGTAACTACTGTTTGTTGAATGGCCCATGTGTTGATGGATGTTCCATTGTTCTACCTTGAAATTGGCTCTAGTGCTGTCTTCATTCATGGGCAAGATCTGTCTCATGCTCTCTCTTTATCTCCCTGTCAGATCATTTATTTATGTGTTAAGCTTTCACTAACAAATTTCAAAATGACACTGACTCCTCTGTCCAGGTGCATCGCCAGTAAGATGGCTAGAATCTTCAGAGTTGGTTGATTTGCTTGCTTCAGAACATCACAGTCCAAGCATGATGAGATAGAGGACAGGCAGGCAGGCTTGTTGATGCATAAAGAAATGTTTGCATTGCTAAGAGACGTCTGTCTTGTATTCTAAGCATGGAAGGAGCTGTGGTCAATGCGTGGTGTCAGGATTAGGAATGCAGTCCATTTCTACAAGACCCCCAATAATGTCATCAGTCCACTATCCCTCAAAAAAAATGTCATCAGTCTACTCTACTCTACTACACCTTATAAATAAATTCCCAGCGTTAGGAAAACAGTCTGTTTCTTTTGTTAGAGAATAATGCATGCTATCAAGAGCACATGAGAGGAAAAATGACAGAAATGGTTGGCAAAGGACAAGGGAACAGGTAGAGGGAAGATATGATCTGCTTGCTCATCATAAACAATTGATGAGGGCTCCTATGCTGTGATCCCCATGGCTATGAACACTGATCCTCTGCTTAATGAGCTAGATTATTTCGTCCATGTGTACATATAGGCTGTTCATGCTATATGGTTTCTGTTTCTCCCAAAGGAAATGTGGATGTGCCAAATCAGCACGCGTATCTTTCCTCGCAAATGAAATAAATGACTAAAATCCGCATGTATACTACACAAGATGCATTCCTCCACAAGATGAAGTTGTTGTTGGATGTGGAGATGTTGTGCACCCACCAAATTCAAACACAAGCAAAAGCAATGGGTGAGCAGAGCTATGCTTGTAAGACAGCCTAAGCAAAAGGGAAGGTTGCACCAAACAGGCTTGCCCTTGATGCTATCTTGGAAGATGGAACTCGCGCTGCTGCTGCATGCTCTCACTTTGCATTGCAGCCTTGCAGGCTTCCAGTTAAAACATCTTTCCCCATCAAGCGTGGGCCATCCAAAAGAGAATGTTAACCACCTACTGCACTTGGTTGGTTCAGACGTTGTGCTGCCTTGTGCAATGCATGCATGCCAAACATTTTATTGCTCCCCAAAAAAAAAAGAACAAAAAAGAATATGTTTTTTTAAAGCAAACATTTCACTCTGTCCCATCAACGGCGGTAAATTTTGTTAGGCTTACCACAACACAACAAGAGGATAATAATAAAAAGGATTAAATTCTACATTATTAATTCCATATACACGTTAATTCCATACATATGAAGTGTGTGTGTTTTCACAAGAGGTTCGATTTACGTATGACTTAAACAAAAATATTCACACATTTGAAACAAAAAAAATGTCTGAACGTACCTGGGATGCGAGGACCTGGAGGCCGGCGTACTTGATGTCCCAGCTGAACTCGGAGACGGCCCAGCTGGTGCCGCCGAACGCCTCGGCGTTGTCGAGGGCGTAGCGGAGGTAGTCGCGGCGGCCGGTGGCGCGGTGCAGCCAGAGCGCCGCCCACAGCAGCTCGTCCTGGTACCCGCTGGAGGACGGATAGAAGTTCTTGACCACGTCGACGCTGTCGTCGTAGCGGCCACGGTAGGTGTCGG